ACTTTCCCCTGGGTCTTGGCCCTTCAAGGAGCCCAGAGGTGCGGACAGACTCTCAGCGGTCTTGGGAAGATTGAGCCCCATCATCTGGTACCAGGACCCTTGGGCCTCCCCATGCTACTGACAGGCTGAGCTCCCGAGGACAGACATTGGGAGCAGCTAAGCAGTGAGTCCTCCATGCATCGAAGGCCCCCATTTCAGCCCTGCCACCCCGTTAATACACCCCAGGAATAGAGCTAGGTTAGATGAAAACTTGGGTTGCCCTTCTACTCTGAGTCAGTGAGGGCTGGAGCCAGAGTCATCTCCAAAGTGCAGAAACACAAGCTTGGGAAGGGTTTTCCAGAGCAGTGTGCACCCAGCTGGACTCCCACGCTGGGGACAGGACGCAGAACACATCCCTTAGGATATGGCCAGACGCTCTTCCCTGACCTCTCCAGCCCCAGGAAACTTATGATTCCTCTAAAGCTTCCCCTCGGAGCCTTCCTTTCTGTTTGCTGTTTCCCTGTGCGAGGGCTCTCTATCCATAGCAGCCCTCCCTAGCCTGGTTAGCTCCCTTCTATCCCATCTGCGCTTCCAGGCTCTGATTTCCCCGCCCTGTGAGGCTGTCAGCCTCCACAGTGGCCCATTCCAGCCGACATCTAGTATGCAGAAGCTATGAACGGAGGGTGGTAGACATCAAGGCATGAATGAATGGTCAGCCGGCTGTGGATCCCTGAGCCATTCTGTGGAGGGACACAGTACTGCTCTCAGAGTGTGGAGGCCTGCGTTCAAGGCTTGGCTCTGCTGATCACAGAATGGCCATGCCTCAGTTTCCTCCTCTGGGACGTGGGACAACCATTCTTGCCTACCCCGCTGGGCTGCTATAGAGATGGATTCAGCTGAGAAGATGCTGAGCAGTTGTGGCTGGGATTGGGGGTCCCTGCGGAAGACGCCTGAGAACAAAGCGGCATGGCTTGGGTCTTCAGTCTGGGAAGAGGCTGTGGAGAAGAATGGGGTCCAGGCTCATGTGTGGCATTTCACGTTAGGATGGATTCTCTTGAGCAGAAGTTACATACATTATTAAGTCATGATTAGGAATGATCTCAGCCCTGGCCCCTGACACAGATTTCCCTGGTGGTCTCTGTGACACTGGGATGCCAAATTCCAAAGGGGTGGTTTGGGCTGGGGATAGTAATTCTGATAAGCTGGAGTGCTCGAAGGTCTGGGATGGACTCCACCTCTGCGGAGGCCAAATGGTGGATGAAGGCCTCTTCCAGCTATGGCTTGTGCCTCTTAGAGCCAGAGTACTCGGACGGAGAGACCAGGTGACTTGCAGTCCTGCTCCATCATCCCCACCTCTACGGGTGTGAGATGCTCTGGCTGGCCCTCAAAGCCAGAGTTCCTGGACTGGGGCTGAGGGGTAAACCTGGGAGTGTCAGACAACCAGAAAAGGCTCACAGAGAAAAGAAACCCTTATCTTCAGGGCAGGCAATGGAAAGAACAAATGTGGGAGTAAGACCTGGACTCAGTCCTGCCTTACCCAACAGCTGATGGTCATGGGCAACCCAAGCCAGCCGGGCCTCTGTCCACACTGTGACTGTGACACAAGGGCTCTCCACTTGGTGGCCTCCTCCTTCCCTGCTCAGCAGTGTGGCTGGTCCTGCTGGGCTCTCAGGCCCCTAGTGCCTGTGGGACGGTGACCAGGGTTTGTGGAGAGTGGAGGATGGGGAGAATAAAGTGCTGCTTTATGGAAAGAAGCTTGCAATCTCAATGAGTACCAGCCGCTCTCCCTGATCTCATGCAGAAATTGTCCCCAAATGTAATTAAGCTGGCTTCTGGCAGGCATTGAGGACGCACAGCTGGGCCAGGTTGGGAGAAACACTGGAAGCCAAGGCCAGCCTTGCTGACACTCAGGAACCAGGAGGGAACTGGATGGGTCCTGGGCTTCCCGACTCCATGCCCCACTCTGTGTCCTGCCTCTGCAGGGCCTTGGATTTGAAATCCACCAAAGGTCAGATGAGGCCCTGAGGGACCCTGACTGGAGCAGCATGTATTTTAGGGGACATCACTGGCCTGGGTGCAAAGGTGCCTTCCTCACTGTGGGACTCAGGATGGGAAGAACTCTCCCAGGAGCCAGGCCCATTTCTTAGGATTCAGTCCTGGTTGCAACCACTTTTTGGTAGGGAGTTGGTTCTCAACTGTGAAGGCACACCAGATCACCTGGGATTACCAGAAAACATGGATGTCAGATTCTGATCTCCCGGGTGTGGGGTGTGGCCTGGGCAGCGCTGCCTTGGGGGATCCCAATGCACAGCCAGGGTCACAGACCACCAGCTCTGAGGGCAGTGGCACTAGCCCATCACAGATGAGGGCCTGGGGCCTTGAGAGGCTGTGTAACTTTCTCAAGGTCACAGAGAGGAAGTACGGGAGCAGGCGATGCCCTCACCCCACAGGCTGGCTGGGCATGGGGCCTTCGGGAAAAGGGCCATTCTGGCTGTTCTCTCCCTTCCCTGGCACTGTCCCCTGCATGCGGTGGCTGCTCAAGATCAGGGATGGAGGAACCCCAGAGGAGCTGGGAAGGTGGAGCATCCAGAGAGGATGAGGGGTTTGGGCCCCACTCCTCACCGGCTGGGCCTCAGGTCTCTTGGCCACACGGTGGGAAGAAGTATGGGTGCCCAGGCCTTCTCAGAGTGGAGGCGTGAGGTGCCGGGGGTCCTGAGGGGCCTGGCAAGGGGACAGGGGCCTGCTGGCGTCGAGACACACCCTGGTTTGGGGAAGTCCCGTGAGCAAGTCAGCATGTGCAGCTGCTGGGGGCCGGCTGCAGGAGGCCCTCTCCTTCCTGCTGCCTGTTTTGGTGGCTGAAACCTTAGACTGATCCAGGAGCCAGACAGGCGGGCAGACAAGCGCATTCTTTTCAGGGGGGAGGCCTCCTCCTCTTTTCGCTAGGAGCAGGGAGGAGGGGAGGACAGGGCCTGTCCAGGCCTGACCCCAGACTGGGTTTCGGGATGTGGGGCCAAGAAGGGCTCCCTGGGGACTTGGGGCTGGGGAAGGAAAGCCCCAAAGGCTGGAGTCTGTGGTTTGGAGTCCTGCGACTCTGCGAGCTGAAGCCACCAGGCAGGAGGGGGTGGAAGGGGGCTGATTAAAGAAGGCCTAAGCCTCTGGGTTTTTGGCTCCAGTACTGGCTATGGGTACTTCTGCTCTGTTTCTGGGCAAATCCCTGCCTGCCCAGCCCATTTCCCCAGTGAATGCCCCCAGCCCTGGCAACCTCAATGTGGAGGGGATTAGAGCCTGAGCCTGGAAAAAGGCCACGTTCAGTTTCCAATCAGCATCAACTTAGCTGTGTTTCCCGAAATGAAGCGGAAGGCGGCTCTGATGCATGCACGGGCTCACTCCCGACAGAACTTCTGCAGAACTGGTCAACTTCTTTTAACAAATATGCTCTTGGCAACCTCCCGCAGGAACAGGGCTGGACACAGGCCCACAACGCAGGAAGTGGGGAGGCAGCTTCCTTCCACAGCCTCCCCGTGCCCTGAAGACTGACAGCCTTGACCTAGGTCTGTCATGGGCCCTCAATTCTTTTCCCTGAAGGGTGGAGGGATCTTAGGTGCCATCCTGGCTGCTGAATCACCTCTGGGGCAGCTGTGCCTTTCAGGAAGCCCATTGGAATTTAAATCCTAAATCCTGGACATCTTAGCTTGGAAGCAAGTTTCTGAGCATCTCTGTATCTGTTTCTTCCTCAGCAAAATGGAGATAATAACAGCAGCATGTCAGGAGTGTGGTCAGGATTAAAGGAGACAGAAGCTTGCCGGGAACATGGGTGGTGAGGGTGTGGCGCTGGCTGCTGGGCTCAGCTTTCTCAGCACCCTGCGGGCAGGCAGTGGCTGCATCCACTTCCTCCAGGTGCTTTCTTTGTTGATGGCACCCAAGGGACTCTCCTGGGTGCCTGCCTTGTTCAAGGAACGATACCCTCTCTAGACCACAGGTGGACTTCCCACGGCCCTACTGAGGCGCTGCAAGAAATTTAGGCCCTAACCTAAGCACCCTCATCGTTGGCTCACAGCAACAAAAGAGTGCATTCAGGGCCTGGAGTTAAGAGCCGGCTGATGGGGGTGTGGGATGACCTGGAAGGGTGGTGAACAGTTATGTAAGCATCCGCAGGGTTGCTGATCAGAGCCCCAACAGCAGCCATCGAGTGGGGCTCTGGGTTGGGCACGGTTCTAGGCACCTCACGGGTATTTACATGCTGACTCCTCGCAGCGGGAGGCTGCAGAGCCAAAGTGACAGGGGACAGCTCGAGCACCAGGCTGAGTTCTCTGCTGAGGGGCCCCAGGCCTGAGTTTCAAGTTACTCAACTCCAGTGGTGGAGTATGCTCGTCGGCCTCTCCCAGCATGTTCTGACTGGGGTGGACACTCCTGAAGCCCCATTTGCGCATGTCTGTGGGGTCTTTCCTACTCCATCTGCAAATCCTTGCTAAAGACAGTAACACATGTTACTCAAGACGCTCGATTTCAAGGGATGTAAATCCAACTGGAATGACCAGCTTAAGCAAAAAGGGAAGTGTGTTAGAATACTGGGGTGTGGCAACATCCGAGGAAGGGCTTTCCTGATAACAGGAACCCAGAGCTCATGCTGCCAGGAAACTCTCTCACATCTCCGCTTCTTTCCTGCCACAGGCCGGCTTCCCCCAGGGCAGAAAATGGCTTCTGAGAGATCTGGGCCTGGCATCCCACAATTCCCACTACCATAGAGGAATTCCCCAGGAGTGACTGGGACTGTTAGCTTGGGCCAGGTGTCTGCCCTGGCCAGGAAGCCTGAGCATACCTGGTACGCAGCCCACACCAGGCGCCCCTCCCTGAACCCGTGTGCCCAGGATGCCGTGTGCTGGAGGTTGGCAGAGGAGGGAGAAGGGAGTGGAGTGACCCCAGCAGAGCACCAGCTCACTTTCCCACACTGCAGGGTGGTGCATTCCTGGCCTCTTACTGGTCCTGCTGCCAGATGCCGCAGTCAAGAAGGCACCGTCCTCCAGTTCACTTAGGCAGACATTTATTGAGCACCTATCAAGTGCAAGGCTCTGTGCTAGGCGCCGTGGGAAATACAGAGAACACAGGCGGTCCTTGCCCGCGAGGAGCTCACAGTCTAGAAAGGGCAGCAAGACACAGTACACGATCAGCGGCGGTGGCACCAGCCAGAGCGGCGAGTGCCCAAAGCAAGACACAAAGTGCTGTGCAGTCACAGAACACCATGGGGCTGCTTCTGGCAGAAGCACTGGACAAGGGGATGAGGAGGACTCAGGCCGGGCCTTTCGGGAGGGAAGTCATTTGGGAGAAGGGCATCTCTAGTGGAGATAAGTCCAACTGCACAGCCTACAGGTCATGGGAAACATGTAGCCACAGGGAGCCTTTGGGTGGGGATAAGTGGACAGTCAAATATGGCCGGGAGATGGACAGCCATGGACATTAAGCTCAGGGGCTATGAACTTGGTGCTCTGGTCAGTCATTGCAGATCACTTTGCAGGAGGGGTGACTAGAAGTGTTTTTCTGGAAGGTAAATCTGGCTGCACTGCAGTGTCTGGACGGTAGAGGGCAGCGCTACAAGGGGCTGGCGAGTCAGGGCTCACCGCCCCTGGGTGTCTGAGAGCAGGGGCCAGCAAAGCATGAGGGCAGAGCAGGGAACCTCATGGAGGGTGGGTGTGGAAGGAGGGAGGGTCCCTGTGCAGGCTGTGGTTCTAGGGAGCCTGAGGATGCCATGGGGCTTCCTGGTGGAGTGGGAAGTACAGTCCTGAAGGGCAGGGCCAGAGGTCACTGAAGAGAGGGGACAGTGGGGAGAGGGACAGTGTGGCCTTAAGGATGAGTACAGTTTCTTAACATGTGGTCCAGGGATCATCTGCATGGGAACTGCCCAGGGAACATGCTCAATTGCAGATTCCTGGGCCTTCCTCCATAACTACTGGGCAAGCATTTGCCGGGTCATGCCGGGTAACCTGCATTCTAAACACCAGCTGGCCTCTCCACCAGGAGCCCCACAGGTGGGGCAAAGTCTGCAAACCTGCTGGGGAAGAACAGGGTGTTAAAGACTGGCCTTTAGGCAAAAAGAGACAAAAAGAGTAAGAGAGGTCTGGGAGTGAGAGAAGTGGTGGGAAGCAGGGACAGTCCAGTGAACAGCAGCACGTGCTGGGGCTGTGAAATATACCAAGACAGCTCCAGCGAGGCCTTGCAGCCAGGCACCGGGCTGTCCCCAGGGGCCGCTCTCAGTCTGCTTTCACTTGGTGGTCGAAAGCCACGTTTGCAAACTGAGAAGTGGAGAGTGAGAGATAAGGGGAAGCACTAGCAATGAATGGAGAGGATTCTTCCGGGAATTAGGCTGTTTCAATCTAAAACATGTGAGATGTGTGGCAACGCTGGGGGATGGCGGGGAGAAGAGGGTTTGTGTGTGTAGATCTGAGTCTTCCCTCACATCTCACCGTGTCACAACAAGCCTGCATGGGCATGAGGCCAGCTGTCCCCTCACTGCTTTCGAAAGCCACCCAGGCCTGAGTCCCAGCCACCTACTTTCTCCTGACTGCAGGAGAAGTGACTTTTCCGCTCAGACTGCTTGTGGAAAGTCAGACGAGAGACAGTGGCCTGGAGCTTAGGGAAGAATGTAGGCCCGGAAATCACCGGCCCCCTAGGACAACCTCTCTGAGCATCAGATATCCCGACTGTTGAATCAGGGTGACATCTTTGCCTTGCCAACTACTTTCTGTGGATGCCCCAAAGCAGGAGAGCCTGAGCAGTGGACAGGGAAGCAGCCGACGGCCCCGCTGCAGGAGGTAGACAGGCTACAGACATGTATGCAGCAGCCACACTGAGGCTAGTACTGGAGGAGGCTGAGAACCAGTCATGAGTGTTTTTTAATGGTTTGATAATTTGGGTTTTTAAATATTAAATTTAACTAACCCTGAGGGGTTTTGGAAGGAATAATTCCGTCTCATATTGTAACTAATGAAGGGAAGTAATGAGCTCTTTTCTTATCCTTCCTTCCCATAGCCAAGAAAGGGAAAGGGGACAGGCCGATCGCTCCAAAGCAATAGTCAGAACACAGACTTAAGAGAAGCCAAACGTCAAGGGTCAAGTAGCTTCTAGAGCTGGGAGAAGTGGTGACCCCCTCTGCCTAGCCAGCACCAGCCAGCATGGTGGAGACAGCCTGGCAGTCAGGGCATCTCCTGGGTTTCTTCTCTGAAGCAGAGGAGAAACAGTTGGGTCAGCCAGGCTGCTGAAACGAACCGTGAGAAAGAAGGCCAGAGTTGCTGCAAGACAGCCCCAGCCTGCACACCTCAGCTGTGCTTTTGAAAACAGGCACAAAGCTGAGGCATGGGAGGTGTGACTGAAGTCTTCCTCCTGGCTGGCTTCATCTTTTACCCCTGCTTCCATAGCTGGGTGACTTGGCCACCGGCCCAAACAACAGAAAACCAGTTCCACATCAGGAGGCGTCATAGAGGCATCTGAGAGGAACATGATTGAAGTACAAGCCTGACTTCCTGGAAGGCTCTGGATTCATTCCTCGAAGGATGCAGCGATCAAACAAAATCAACACACAGGCCTGGCAGGAGCACTCCGGGATGCCGCCCAGTCCCCTCACTGTGAACAAGCCAGCACTGACTCCTCAGCCTCCGCTCCTCAGGGCCAGGAGAGAGACACGATCCATAGGCAGGCAGGAAGCCGACTGTGAGCAGCCTGGGGACGCAGGTATAAAATACAAAGCCCTTTGAAAGTTCAGACAATAAGAGTAAAGATGTTAAGATTGTCCAGGAAAAGAACTTCACTGACACTGGATTTGGGTAACACTGAAAACAGACAATATTAAGATATCAATTCTGAGAAAGACTCACAGGAAAGGCTGTTGAGGACACTAGAGAGACAAAAACAGGGAAAATGAATTACAGGGTCTCTGGGACCCCCCACAGAAGCTACTAATGCTATTTATTGGCTTGGGTCATTTTTGAGAATAGAAAACCGTTTTTTGGCAAAGCTGTACAAACTCCACATTGGGGCATCTCCTGCAGTTGCGGACACAAGATGGCCACAGTGACAGGGCTCCTCATTCAACTTCCTTTAGTGTTCAGAAGCTAAGACGTGACTTCCAGAGCTACAGGTGTGTGGAGGCACTAGCCTGTAAGTGTGTCGAGCCCTGGCCTGGGAGCCTGCTGCCTGCCCGGCCACTCCTCAACTGTGGCTATGGGCATGCGGGGACGGCGAGCACACTGGGCCGTCCCCTCTAGCGCAGGGTGGAAGGGGAAGAAGGGTGGGACTCCATGGGCTCCACATTGTCTTCTAGCCTTGGTATTCTGTGAGTCTAACTTTGCTCTGGTCATTCACCACAGCTAGGCACCAAGTGCCATCTAGTGGCACCGTGGGTCCACTTTCACAATGCTCCAACCAAAGACCCTGCAGAACAAACCAACTCCTACCCACTCTAACTCTGGGGGTGAGGGCAGAGGAGGCTGGAAGGGGGAGCACACTTCATGGTAGTGACGGGACATATTCATCTCAAGAAAATATACTTTAAGAGGTCTTGCTTTCTTTAAGAAAGCAACTTTTTTTTTTTTTTTTAAATTTATTTATAAAGGCTAACCATATCCATTTGTCAATATTTTCGGCTTTAAGGAAAATAGTTTAAAAAACATAAAAAGGTAAATACACTCAAGAGTAACTGCTATTAAACAGTTCTGAACAGGCAGAAAATGTAGACTTTCCTTTAACAGAAAATGTTAAATCTGTAATAGCAGCATAATTTATATATAGAAAAAAGCTGGTTTTGAAAACCCAGATTTATACACAAAACTTTTTTTTCTATACAACTGCCTTTACACTGGGAAATAAAGTTTCTTCACATTATGTTCGTTCCCAACAGGTACAGGTGTGAGCTTGAGTTTGATCAGCCAGCCCTGAGCGCAAGCTTCTCAGCACAATCTTCAATCCAATACCATGGCAGAGAGCGCGTTTAGATCTTTCATATATGGGTGGGCCACCAAGATCTGGTCTATTTTCAGTCTTTGCTCCGAGTCAGGGAAGATCTTCAGAAGGGCTTCCCTCAGCTCATTGGTTTCCGCAGAAGATCTCTGAGCTGGCATGGGCAGGTTCTGCTGGAGATTGGGGAGGGTCGGCAGCAGTGGGAAGTGGGGCTGCTGAGGGAGCCAGTGGCTTGAAGGTGCTCCCTGAATCCGGGTCGCAGGCTGGTGGCTGGTGCTGGCTGCCTGGGTGCCAGGGACTCTGAAGCTGGGGTCAAACATGCCCACATTTGGCAAGGCATTGAGTAGGGGCTGCATATCTCTGTGAATGGAAGCGAGTCCTGGTGAGCTGGGTTATAGGTAAGTAAGAAATCATGGACATACTTTAAGTATCTGTGGCAGGCCTTGAGGCTTAGGATGCTACTCCCTGGCTTCCAAGGGCAGGATGAAAGACTGAGGTGGAGGTGGTGATACCAGCTGCCCACAGAGGAGCCTGCAGGGATTCCACTGATGCGATCTCCAGGCATGACAGAGAGTGAGCACACTCCATGAGGGAGCACCACCCTCCCAGATCTGCTGCTGTGAGAACTGACCCCATCCAGCTATTTGGCTCTAACCAGGGTGGCCTTGAGAGCTTTCAAAAGATTTAACAGGGTCTTACTCTTCTGAAGATTTTGATTTTGTGCAGGACCCTGGTTGACAGAAATGAGAAAGGACTCCTTTTGGGTAGAGTGGCAGTCCCCACTGACTCAGTCTGGATGAGGTGTGGGTGGATGTCCACACTTGTATGCACGTGGGTGTGTGCAAGTATGTGTGTGCATGGAGGGCATCTGTATCATTCAAAAGCCTCCCACTGGACTCGACCTGCAGTTGAGAAATGAGGCTAGCTGAAGTCTCCCCATCTTCAAAAGCTCAACTAACTTCAACAGCCCCTTTGTGATGGAAGTGATTCCCAACTTCTTAACCGATTCGTAAACAGCTCTACAAAGAGCCACGAGGTGAGAGGGAAAGGGCAGGCAGGACTGACCCCATGCCAGGCTGCTCAAGGAGTAGGTAGAAGCAGAAAACTCTCCTTCTGGTAACTAACCTAAGGACCTGATTGATGTTCACACATGGGGCTCAGGCCTGAAGCCCAGCAGAGGATTTCCAAGTTCAGATGTGGGGAAGGAAACCAAGATGGTCTGATGTGCAGCAGGTGTGGAAAATGGCTGCCATTCTCTTCATGTGGTTACAGAAGCATGGTGTTTGGGAATTAAGTCCTCATCTGTGTCATAAAACCCAAAGGCTCAAAAGAAATATGATTCAGAAGACCAGGGAGTTGAAATTGTAGTGGTCTCCTAGGTAGAAGATACCACCATGTGAAAAAACCCCCATGACCACCTGCCACTGAATCCAAACCATAATTCCCAACGGGAACCCATTCCAAATGGAAAAGATCAGCTGGAAAGTGTGAGTGCCTAAAAACACCGGGAGAGCTGTGTGTCTTCCTCTCAGCTTAGACCCCCATCCTACTCCCATGAAAATATCAGCTGGGAATTCACAGAAGTTCAGCCTGTTTTAGTTTAAAAAAAAGAATAAACATCAGTCATGGGGTCATATGACCTGCCTGTTAGGTTTGCAGGAATGTTTTACGTTTGTTACCTAAGAAACTACAACAAAGAAAACCTAAACTACCAAATCATTTTCAGATAAACACAGAATACTGGCTTTTCCATTCAGTGAAGGTAGAAAGTAATGGTCGGTTCCCCGAGGCAGTGATTCCTGAGCAGTAAGTAAATTAATATAAGCATAACACGTTCAAAGCAAATGACTTTAGAAAATGAATATAAAGATGTTCATGCATACAAAATGAGCACACCAGGCACTGATAGTTCAGAGGGAAAGCTTTCACACACACATGATGAACCTAAGTGGTATTCACTAGGCTAGTAAGTGACCACCAGCTTGAAAACCAGCTTTGTCTTTTTTTGAGACAGAATCTTACTCTGTTGCCCAGGCTGGAGTGCAGTGGTGCAATCTTGGCTCACTGCAGCCTCTGCCTCCTGGGTTCAAGTAATTCCCCTGCCTCAGCTTCCCAAGTAGCTGGGATTACAGGCATGTGCTACCACAACTGGCTAATTTTTATATTTTTAAGAGAGCCAGGGTTTTTACCATGTTGGCCAGGATGGTCTCAAACTCCTGATCTCAAGTGATCCACCTGTCTTGGCCTTGCAAAATGCTGGGATCACAGGTGTGCACCACCAACCTGGCTAATTTTTGTATTTTTAGTAGAGCCAGGGTTTCACCATGTTGGCCAGGATGGTCTTGAACTTCTTGAACTCCCGACTTCAGGTGATCCACCCACCTTGGCCTCCAAAGTGCTTGGATTACAGGTATGAGCCACCACACCCGGCCTTGTTCTTGAACTTCTGACCTTAAGTGATCCACCTGCCTCAGCCTTGCAAAGTGCGGGATTACAGGTGTGAGTGTGAGCCACTGCACCTGGCCCTGGCTTCGTCTTTTTAAATCCACAAAAAGGCTGGGCACGGTGGCTCACATCTGTAATCACGGCACTTTGGGAGGCTGAGGCAGGTGGATCACCTGAGGTCAGGACTTCAAGACCAGACTGGCTAACATGGTCAAACCCTGTTTCTGCTAGAGATACAAAAAATTATCCAAGTCTCGTAGCGTGCACCTGTAATCCCAGCTGCTTGGGAGGCTGAGGCAGGAGAATTTCTTGAACCTGGGAGGTGGAGGTTGCAGTGAGCTGAGATCGTGCACCATTGCACTCCAGCTTGGGCAACAAGAGCGAACCTCTGTCTCAAAAAAAAAAAAAAAAAAAAAAACCCACAAAAAACAAACATCCACTGGGATGCTTGCTACATTAGCTTCCAAATATATGAACTCAGCACTAAATTTAAGGCTTAAAAAAAAAATTTGGCCAGGCACGGTGGCTCACACTTTTAATCCCAACACTTTGGGAGGCTGAGGAAGGCATATTGCTTGAGCTCAGGAGTTTCAGACCAGCCTGGAAAACATGGTGAGATCCTGTCTCTACTAAAAATACAAAGAAACAGCTGAGCGTAGTAGTACGAGCCTGTGGTCCCAGCTACTCGGGAGGCTTAAGGTGGGAGGATCACTTGAGCTGGAGATGGGGGGAAGGAGGGTGGGCAAAGGTTGCAGTGAGCTGAAATCAAGACACTGCACTCCAGCCTGGGTGACAGAGCAAGACCCTGTCTCAAAAAAAAAAAAATCTTTTTTAAAGGCCATTTTTAGTCTATAAAGATAGCACCTGCATTAAAGCACAAAGAATTGAAATAGATTTTTAAATACAAGACAATCTGAAAAAGGAAATACCTAAGACAGACTTCCTTCTGAAGAAAATTCTCTAATCGAGGTCCACTTCTTCCCAGAGGATCATCAGGAACCATAAATATGTCCCCCACAAATGTATACTGCAGCAGCCTGCAACACAGAACACCACAAGGCTGAGAAACAGGGTCCTCACTGCCGAGGGCCTGCGTAAGGACCCCAAAGCAGCAACCTGATGCCAAAGCAACGGTCAGGTCAGCCTACAAATCTTAAGACTGCTCAAATGCCTAAAAGTGGGAAAAACACCCAAGTCAAACCCTTTTAATTTTTCTGTTTTGGACACAAATAGAATAGAGTTAGAACATTTTATCAGCCAGCCCTTAAATTTCTCATCAAGACTTCCAGCTTTTTACTGAGTTTAGGAGGCAGCTTCTTCTACTGTAACTTTAATATAATTCTGACAAATAAGATTTAAAGACTGTCAGCTTAGAACACAAATGCTGAACAAAGGTTTAATTTTTTAATAAAACTGGTAATAAATGTGTCCATAAGCAAACCCACTGAAAATAATGTTTTTAAAAAGGAAAACAAAATATGAATAAAAGCAATCTTAGGTATTTAGAGCACTATTTATCCTATCAGGAGAAAACAGAAAATAAAATAATTTTTAAAGTCCAAACGCCTGTGCTTTCTTGTTTCCTTTCCAAACAAGGACTTTCTGCCTTGTTTTTGTGAATGCTGAAAGCAATAGCTTGGCTGGAGAGCACCTGTCTTAACTGCACTTAAACCCTCCATGCATACATGGATGAGTGTCCAATAACTACTGACAATGAGCCCAGGGCAGAGGTCCAACAGAAACATGCCCTACAAGATTAACAGCTCATTAACTGTGCCCAGAAGGTCAAAGACCAATTCTTGGTTGAGCTATCAACAACAGCTTTTTAACAGGATAAGGTGTCAAAATGCATACAGTAATTCACTCTCACCTAGACATTTGTAACACAGAATCTTTAAAAAAAAATCTTCTAATAATTTAGGAAAATATAAATACCAGGCAAGGTGCAAATGTGGAACCCTAACAGAGATAAATATCTAGTTAATACTAGCTATATTGCTAGTTACACTACATATTAGTTATACATTGTGTGAGGTATATTTACTTTATGTTTTAAGATTTCTGGACTACATGACTTATCCCTGGCATTATCATAGACTCTTGCTTTCTGTTTTAAATAACTGGTCAGGTGATACTTGTTAACAAAAAGTCCTAGAAGCCAGTGCCTGCTGATCTTAGGGCATTTTTCAGCAGTGGACACATTCACAGTATTATTACAAAGGAAAAACAGCAGTGAATGCTAAACTCTTGACCATAATTTTGTTTTATTCTGGATATCTAAAGATATTTTCAATATAGATGACTAAACTATGACTGTAAAAACCTCAAGAAAAGTATCAGATATTAAAAAGCAGAAGTATTCTCTCCTGACCACCAAGAAATGAAAACCCAGTCAGGATACATTGCTTTCTGTCCTTTCCTCTTTCTATAATCACATCATTTCAGAGCTGGAATCCCAGCTGCCATTAAGTTCACCCTTTCACTTCACAGCTGAGTAAAATAGGGAGGCCGGTGGTGCTCTATCACACTTAACTGTAGCTCCTACTTCATGCAAGAAAATTCTGATGTCCTAGAAGGCCATGGTGGGAATAGAGCATGCCCACGCTCATCACTGCCAGCTGGCTTTCTGCTCTGTACTGGGCCCCCACTTACCTGGAGGGGCCAGCCACCTAGGAACTGGGAGTACAGCAGTCTTATGATACTTTGGTCCCCTATATTGCCTTCTGTGGGGCCAAGGAATATAGAAAACAAAACAAAATGCATACAGAAATAAGCAATTAAAAACAAAACTTTTCCGACCAAAGAAACAGAAGAAAATATTACCTTTTTGTAATAATTTCTCTCCAAGAGACTGACTCATTCACAAATTCTCTGAAATTATCATTTGTTACAATTATGCCACCAGTTTTGTCCGCTAAGTGTAGTAGAAACCTATGGTGATATAAGAGAGTTTAAAATGAGCAACAGGCATCCTTGGCTCACAGAAGCCATGTTATAAGAAAACAAGAGAAAATTTCCTCTTCATAGGAAAACCATTGAAGAATTTAACCAAGGCTAGGCCACAGAAAAGTTCAGCCCCTATCAACTGAAGATCAATCAGAACGGTGAATGTCTCTAAAAATATTAGCTTGATTGTAAAATAATTAGATTTTAAAAAAATGATCTCAACTATAATTTATTCAAAAGTTATATTATCAGTAAACAATGTTAATAAGAATGCATGAGGACCAGAGTAGAGAATGAGACCTGACAAGCCTGAAAAATCATTATTCAGATTTAAGTTACAAAACAACAGTATTTTGGTTCTAAGATTAGCTGCTTAGTACAGTCTGCCTTCCAGTTCTTTTTTCTTTTTAAAAATTCATAGGTTCAAGCCAAGTGTGGTGGCCCACGCCTGTAATCCCAACACTTTGGGAAGCCAAGGTGGGCAGATCACTCAAGCCTAGGAGTTCGAGACCAATCTGGGCAACCGTGGTGAAACCCCGTCTCTACAAAAAATACAAAAAATTAGCCGGGTGTGCCCTGTAGTCCCAGCTACTCAGGAGGCTGAGGTGAGCATGAGCTGAGCCCAGGCAGTTGGAGGCTGCAGTGAGCCAAGATTGTGTCACTGCACTCCAGCCTGGGTGACAGAACAAGACTGTTCCCCAAAAAAGATTCATAGGTTCACACTGCTCTGATTTAAAAAGAGGTATCTAGAATTGCCATTTTGTTTAGGCTAAGTTATAGATTCACTCAAATGGAAGATATGACAGGCTACACGGTGATGAAAAAGGGGAAGGATGAAACAGTAAAAGAAGACTTTCATTTCACTGGAGATTATTCATGCTCAGACTCTCTTACCAAGTGATCTGTGAAGATAATGTGAATTTTATTCCTTAAGTCAGGGTGACTGCATTTGTCTAAGGCAATGTAGACAAAGATAATAAAAAATAAATTAAGGGAATCACTGGAATTAAAGGTACAAACAACTGCTTTTACTAGCAGTGATGAATACTTAATGGGGATTAAAAAAACAAACCTTATTAGTTTAAGAGATCTCAGAAAACCTTGGAAGGTAATTATGATTTAGTTCTTTGGCTTTATTAAGTAACATTTTACAAATGATTTTTAACTGGTGTGAGTTCTAAGTGGTAATGTTTGCCCAGAACTACTAATAAAAATAGGTAGTAAGGCTTCTGAGTGCATGTACTATGAATGAGAACATATATGCATGTCCTCTAAAAACCCTAAGAGTTGTATCAACCAAGGAAGAGCTTAGTCTGCATACTTGTGCATGGGTTCCAATCCTGCTGGTGTGAGAATGAAGCTGCTATGTCAGAGGACCTGAGCCCTGCAGGGTCCCTGTCCGTGTCAAAGGGCTGAGCAGGAAGTGTCCTTCCATGCTGCCTTCCAGTACCTCTCACCCATCCCCCAGGCACCCACATATTCTATCCTCTTTCAGCTCTTCCATGCTACCTGATTCTCACCCATCAGATCTGGTCTTACATACCAGCCTGATGCAGGGTAAGGGACTGTCAATGAGAAGGCCCTTTTGGTGAATGAATATATGTCTGCTGTAGTCCCAAGCCCCCCAACCCCCTACCCAGGCCCTCTTTTCACCTCTTACCCATTCGACTATCATTCACTAGCTTGGGTCACAAGCTAAACACAATCTTCAATGGGGTAGTGTTTTGGTGGAACACAGGCAAAAACACCAGGGAGGGGTGGTCAGTGCTATAAGCCAGATGAAAATAAACAGGGCAAATGCAGGAGAGAGAAGAATAAAAAGCTACCACCAGGTTCCCAAATACTACTTGCTACTAATTTCATATCACGAGGATGATTTTAAAAACAGGTCCCATTTCCATTGGTTAAGTTTAGAACCTTCTCTTATTCAACTACAGCAAAACTCCCTTCTGTTGCTTATGCATATGTCTTCTCAAAATTCCTTAGGGCAGGAGGTGCATCTGAATCATGCATGTCCCCAGAACCTAGCTCTGTGTATTAGATTTGGTTAGTGCTCAATACAATAAAAAGTTTTTAGAAAAAACTTAAAAAGGGCCAAGTGTAGTGGCTCATCCCTGTAACCCCAGCACTTTGAGAGGTCCACATGGGTAGATCACCTGATGTCAGGAGTTTGAGACCAGACTGACAAACATAATGAAACCCTATCTCTACTAAAACTACAACAATTAGCCAGGCGTGGTGGTCCATGCCTATAATCCCCGCTACTTGGGATGCTAAGGCAGGAGAATGGGTTGAACCTGGGAGGCGGAGGTTGCAACGAGCCAAGATTGTGCCATTGCGCTCCAGCCCAGGTGACAGAGAAAAACTCCATTTCACAAACAAAACAAAACAAAACATTTAAAAGGTACAGATTAAATCTTGATGACCCAGATGCACTAGTACCTGCTTCCTGAGTCATATGCCAAGCTAAGAAATGCAGCTTAAAAAGGCTGGGCATGGTGGCTCACTCCTGTAATCCCAGCACTTTGGGAGGCTGATGTGGGCAGATCACCTGAGGTCAGGAGTTGAAGACCAGCCTGGTCAACATGGCAAAACCCTGTCTCCGCTAAAAATACAAAAATTAGCTGGGCATGGTTGCATGTGTCTGTAGTCCCAGCTACTCAGGAGGCTGAGGCAGGAGAACTGCTTGAACCTGCAAGGCAGAGGTTGCAGTGAGCCAAGATCGTGCCACTGCACTCCAGCCTGGGCAACAGAGTCAGACTCCATCTCAAAAAAAGAAAGAAAGAAAAAAAAAACGTAGCTTACTCCTATCACAGTAGGGTCAGCTGAGATACTTCTATTAAGTAGAAGGAACGTTGAGGACCCAGGTATTACAATAATAGGTTAAATCACTGACCAAAAGTAAACTGGGAGGAGATAATTGAAAACCATTTTCAAGCCTGCCACACTAAGACAAACATTATTTTTAGCATGTACCAACAAAAGATTACAATATCTTGACAGGGAAAATGTGGCACATGTACACCATGGAATATTATGCAGCCATCAAAAACGATGAGTTCGTGTCCTTTGCAGGGACATGGATGAACCTGGAAACCATCATTCTTAGCAAACTGACACAGAGCAGAAAATCAAACACCGCATGTTCTCACTCACAGGCGGGTGTTGAACAATGAGAACACATGGACACAGGGAGGGGAGCACTACACCCTGGGGTCTGTTGGGGGGAAATAGGGGAGGGACAGTTGGGGGTGGGGAGTTGGGGAGAGATAGCATGGGGAGAAATGCCAGAAATAGGTGAAGGAGAGGAAGGCAGCAAATCACACTGCCATGTGTGTACCTATGCAACTATCTTGCATGTTCTTCAAATGTACCCCAAAATCTAAAATGCAATTAAAAAAAAAAGATTACAATATCTGCTTTTACTTACAGGTTTTCAGCCATGTCTTACTAAACACAAACGGTTTTTTTTATGATGTTTCTAAAATCATGTAGCAAGTATCATTGAGCATATCACCTTAATGACCATAAATATTAAAATCCCCACACCCAACAGGTCCTCTGAGTGTGTGGACCTGTCAGGAGAGCAGGTGGCTGGCTCCTCAACACCCTACTCCCACCTTAGGAAGGAGAATGGCCTTTCATACCTGTCATCATGAGAAGCAATTCTTTCTCCAAAGACCATCCGGGAAGGAGTTAAAGATAATATTCCGAGCTCCTGGAGCTGGGTTAAGAAGTGCTGTTCTGTTCATGAAATAAGTTGAATACACATTCAGAAAAGGGCTATTTTCCCAAATGTATCAATAAATGAAAGTACACTCAAATGTTTCACTTGGAGAGCTGTAGAAAACCTTTTTTTCTATTGACTCAATTTTACTAACTCACTGGGAAGGGAAAAAACAAACCAATCAAGCCAGACCCATAGTAAGGCAAAAACAGCATATGAACTAAGTTTAGTTATTTTTTAAAATATAAAAAGATTAAACTCATTTGCTTCTTAAGAGGAGTAGGCCAGGTATGGTGGCTCATGCCTGTAATCCCAGCACTTTGGAGGCCAAGGCAGGTGGATCACTTGAGGTCAGGAGTCTGAGACACGCCTGGCTAACATGGTGAAATCCTGTCTCTACTAAAAATACACAAAAAAGCTGGGTGTGGTGGTGCGTGCCTGTAATCCCAGCTACTCAGGAGGCTGAGGCAGGAGAATCGCCTGAACCTGGGAGGCGGAGATTGCAGTGAGCTGAGATTGCGTGCTGCACTCCAGCCTGGGTGTTTAATGAAGCCTACTGTCAAGAACTCTTCCAGAGCTACACTACAAGAAATAGAGGGCAAAGAGAGGGATGACAAGAGACCCTGAGAGAAGGTAAGGGTGGGACTAGGGCAGATCTAGGGATAGGAGGGATAAATGGTTCTAACCCAATCCCAAAAAAGGTCCCTATGCCAAGAATCTGTTGAAGCCTCCTCCTACTGGTCTCCTATCCAACTTCTCTTAGGTGCTCATGCAAATATTTGCTGGTTTTCATGGGGGTGGGTGGTGACAATGGAGAATGGAGGGCCAAAGCCACATTTTAGAAAACCAGTAATGGGCAAAAGCAGCTAAAACCTCAGGGCCTAAGATTCCCATGTCTGAATCCCCTACAATAGTACTCATCATTGACTTAAGCAATGTAGAGCATGTGTAATGATTAAAAGACTCCTTCAGGGATCCAATTGCAAAAATAACAAAATGAATGGATGTGTCACATGCCTCATGTACCCTCTGCTAAGATGAACATGCTCTTCAAAATGGGGGAAGTTGGGAATACTTGGGGACTGTGTGGTTTGGCCATTTCTGCCCCACTAGTGACTAAATTTCACTTCCTGTTTAATGTGCAGGGCAAGTCCTGTACTCACCCTCCCTCCCCACAACTGACTTTATTTTTCCAGGCATTCTGATGTGTTAAGTTGCCTGGCATAGCCCTTTCACCTACCTTCCTATCATGACCTATGACACAAACAACCTGAAGTTTCTCTGAACATTTCATGATTCATAGTAAGTTTAAATCTTTTGTGTGTGGCCTGCAGGTCAGCCAGAAGTACTTTATGGTTAACAGAAATGATTTATAGTAAGCTTAACATAAGTTCCCATATAAACAACTATGCTAACTTTCCGCCCTACCTCCTAGTATTTCTGATGCTGTGGCACTCTTCAGTTGATGTTTTGCTAGGTGCAGTTGATTTACAATTTCATTTTTAAAGCTGCTGCCCGTGGCACACAGCTCTATTCTAAATAGCATGTGTTGTAAAATTGTAAGCTGACTCATTAAACATTTCAATAGAAATCTGAAAAAATCAGTTTGCCTCACCTGTGACATTAGGATCACGCCTTGTTCTCCACTGAGGGACAAAAACAGTGATGTTTCTGTTGCCAAGCTTCCAAAAATATTCAACCGCAATTGCAATTCCACGACAAGAAAAGAACTTTTTTAGACCATGGCTAGAAATAAGAAAGGAAATTAAGTAAAATGTTATTTCTGTTTAAAGCATATTAAGTTTCACCATGAAAAGGTAACCTACACATACAACAAACAATAAGCAATGTTTCCTTCAATATTCTTATATTTTTGGGGATTTAGCTGCATAGTTTAAAGTTAGGACGGAATCCATTGTAGGGGACAGAACACTTAATAGTATCTTAGGACTTTTCTTGCATTTTGTTAATCTAACTGGGTATGCTGTTCTGATAGAAGGCAGTGAGCTCCATATACCTGTTCCCGTGACGGAAGAAAGGGACAAAGATGTGACACGGTCATCACCCCTGCAACCTCCAAAGATGCTGCTGTGTCCTGCCCCCAGAAGGCTCCACTCTGTTCTGGGAATGGCAATATTTATCCAGTTTATAGCTTACGAGAAACAAGCTGAGGGCAAGACTCAAATGAAACTAAATGGGGGCTGTGAAAGGCTATTTTAAGAAAGCAGAAAGCAGGGAAAAAAGTTTTTTTTTTTGTGTTTTTTTTTTTTTTTTAAAAAGCCCAAGGAACAGTATAGAACACAGGTCAGCACACTTTTACTGTTAAGAGCCACACAGTCTCTGTCATATCACCCAACTCTGCCACTATGGTGTGAAAGCAGCCACAGACAACTGTTTAAGTGAATGTGTGTGGCTGTGTTCCACATTTACAGTAACAGGTGGTGGACCTGATTTGGCCCACAGTTTACAATCCTTGGTATAGAGGATTAAAAAAATGCCCACTCCTCCATCCATAACACATTTCACTGGAAAGCAAGAAAGTACTTAAACTTTACTCTCCAACAGTTAATTAAAAGTGGAGATAAAACATGTTAAAAGTTTAAAATTCTGCAGGTGGTAATTTATCTACTCATGGGTATTAGAAAGAAAAAAAAGACTAAAATTTCAAATAGTGATGATATAATTTATGTGATTAGCATAATTTAAGTTCACTGCTTCAATGGTCACTTAAAGATTCCAATAGCAGTACCCCCTGCATCTTCAGTCCTGTCTCCTCTCCGCACATCAAAACTGCTTTGTAGAAATACTTCACCTGAAAGTCCTGCCATTATGGGCATATGTGTCCCAAGTTAAACCCAGGTTCTCCTAATTCCAACCTACCCTGCAAACCCCAGTGATACTAACCTTTAAATGCAGCTGAGGCCTTTGATTCTGCTCAGGGCCTTCAAAGGCACTGTCCTTCTAGCCTAATCCTGCCTGGCTTCCAGGACCCTTCCTCGTCTGACAGGATCTGGCCAAGTGACCCTTCCACTACTATGTGACAACACTCTTGATTTTGGCCAGGTCTTGCCATCTCACCCCTCCTGGTCTCGAGCCTTTTCTTGTGTTGCTTTCCATATGTGTGATGCTCTTGCACCTTTTTCAAATGCCCTCAGGACTGAATTCTGACCCCTCTTCGTCTGTGAAGCTATTTCTAGACACAGGGCCTCTCTCAGACTCCTTCCTCTTCCGAGTTCCAATCCTATATGGTGGACCAGAATCACAGAGATAGAATGGCATTTAGATGCCTGGGTTAGAGAGAAAAAGGAATCACTAGGGATAGAGCAGCCTGCCTAGGTGGCACAGGCAGGGGGATGAGCTGGATCAGACTCGCTCCCTCACGTCTGCCAGTGCCTTTTCCACGACCCCACAGCGGGATTGTCATTCCACCGGCATCTGCATTCCTTGAGAGCAGGAACAGGCTGGACACTTTATGAACATCTAATGCTCTGTGACATTCAGAAGAGCTACTTACAAATTCCTGTTTTTAAAGGCTATTTTTTTTTTCTAGTGAACCATAACCAAGATATTTCAGAGGCCCTTACCCCTAAAAATGTATGTAAATAAACAAACCCAATCTTGATAATTCAGGAGTGTTTTATCTAAAAGCATTCAAATATGGCAAGAAAGTAGCAAAGAGACATTTGCAACTAGAAAAAAGACTGGGGGGGGGGTGATTTTTTAAAGGGAGCTTTTTTAAAAACTTTCAAAAATAATAAATCACCCATCACTCTAATTGCTTAACATCAGGAACATGCCTAGAGTTAATGTCAACCACAGCCTTAATTTGAAAATCCACAATAGAATAACCTGCTGGTTCTTAGAAAAACCAAGAAATATGTATATTTAGTCCTCGAAAGGATAACCCTTGAGAGAACTGCACTGAAAAAGTTTTGAAGGTGGCTCCTTGGTTATTTGACGGATACAAATGTATGCTACCTACTCTCCCTCTTTTCCTCAACAGCTTCTGGTGATGGCAAGAGCAGGAACTGGACAGAGGAAGAGTACCCAGTTCAATTCCACTGGGTCACCACATAACAAGGGTGGAAATGCAGACTGATGAATTCTGCTGCCCTAGACTCCTTACAAGTCTAGATGGGGAATAAAGGGAGTTTCTAGAAACATCAGCTCTCAACTAAATTCCAGAGTATTATTCTCAGTAATAAGATCATATCACTTTTGACACTCTTAAAAAATCTCAGGAGTGAAATTAAAACAATGGTTCAAAATTCTGGTGGAGAACATACAGATTTACCCAAAAAATAAAACTACAACAGCAAAAATTTAAGTGGAGTCAAAATATTGTCCTCAGAATAATACAGAGGGCCCACTAAAGACTCTTCTTCTTACTTCAGGTCCTATATCTTGACCAGGCAGACATGTGCTTACTAATAATCACTGTCTCCCAGCCTCTCTACAACTGAACCAGAGTAGCATGCTGACAGGTAAACCCAGACCAAAGGTCTATTTTGACCCAGAGACAAAGAATATATATGATAACACCTTGCTACTTACGGGAAGGCCAAAGCTCTGGGGCTCCCAGATTCAAATGCAGAATGAACAGTTATTAAGTCTGGGAGGCCAGGTGTGCAGGACCTCAAGAGATTTAAGTGCCTGCTTCCATAAAATTGGTTAAAACTTATATCATCTAGTTGTTTGCCATATTATAGAATACTGGCAACTAAAAGAAAGTGTCCCAAGTGGAGGACAGATGGGTGACACATAGTAGATAAAAACTTATGGCAGCCATAGCACCAGACAGGGAAATGTGGGGAACAGTGGAAAGCCCTTTCTGAGTTACCCAGGAAAAAGGAATTTCTTTTTATGGAAACCTAATATGGAAAAGACTAACATGAGAAAATGGTCAAAATACGTAATTCTGGCAAGGGAAGGGGCAAATCTCATCTACATGGAAAATTATCACCCCATATAAGTCAGGGGCTCTCATGCTGAAGATTCAGGCTGACAGTGCCCAAATGTTTCTCGGCCACTACTATGCTGTCTAGCCATATCATACACTGCAAACAATTTCCACTTACTCATCATTTGACTCATTCATGGTTATGAGGGGGAAAAAACAAGATATACAAAACTGGCAGCATTAAACAGGGTACTGTGAAATTTTTCACAGGTGGAAGGGGCTGTGGACCTCATACTGGATAGGCAAATGAACAAAGGCTTTTGCAAAAACACATGGAAGGGTGGGCCTAGGCTGCTTTAGGGTGGGGCTCACACCAGCAGATCCTGTTGCTTAAGGACTCACGTTTCCTTTTAACTACTTCCCCAACTACTTGGGCCAAATCGGTGAGCTTCAGTCAGCAGTGCTATGTAACCCAAGACTTAAGGATCCAATGATAACTTGGCCTGAAAATTCCAACTTTAACTTCTGTTGGAGGAGACAGGGTATATGGCAGCTCTGGGAAAAGACATTATGGGCCCAAATCTCTATCTCTGTAACCCTGGAGAAGATTTTTAAAGATATTTCATGTTGTATAAATTATAACTTTTGCCTCACAATTGGTGTGAAGGTTGTTTCATTTTAAAAATACAGTGCCTGACACATAATAATGGGTATTTTGGCTTTATCCCCAAAATCTGTTGCACTAAATATATGGCTTCAGTTAAAAATCTAAACTGGCCACTGGAATAGTAACCATGAAGTTACAAATGCGTGGTAAAATGTCACTAAAAAATCCTAAACTGGGTGTGGTAAGGCGTGACTATAGCTTCAGCTACTAGGAAGGATTGTCTGAGCCTGGGCAAAATAGTGAGACTTTACCTCTTAAAAAAAGAATAAAAATTCTAATTTGCTTTTAATTCATCAATAAGTTTTTACTGAGCTCCTACTACATATCAGGGACCATGGGTATTAGAGGTAGTTCATTGAACAGAAAGAAGAGACACAAATCAGTTTCTTCATGGAATCTGGTCAAAGTTAATTTACGCTTAACACTGAAGCAACTAATTTAGAATAAGGGTCGATTTTTTTCCCAATTTCCAAAAAAATTACTGAGGTAAAATTCACATCACTAAAATAATCAATTCAATGGCATTTACTACATTCACAATGCCATGCAACCACCACTTACATCTATCTCCAAAATAAAACTCAATACCCATGATGCAGTATCTTCCTAGAATAAGGGTACATCTTAATTACTGACATTTTCAGATCAATTTACATCAAACTAAGTACAAGTCTGTCTTCTTAAAGTAACACATTCTTTTGTAAAAGTATTGCCATTAAACAAGGACATCTGTGAATCCAAAGAAAATGCAAATCCTCCCAAAACAATGTTTTCAAAAAAATAATAATAATAATAATGAAAGTCAGCTTGCAGCTTTCCCTTAGTGTACTAATTAGTGGTTTTCAAAAGAGATGAGATGATACTGTACTCAAGGCATTAGGAAATATGTGGGAGTGTGTTTAGGGTGTCACAATGACTGGGGAAGGATATTATAAGCAAAGTGGGATGGACTAGATTTGCAAAACATCCTGTCACGGATAGATAGCACCACTCTAAATTCCAACAGTGACCCTGCCGAGAAATATCCCTGTTAACTACCCCAAAAGGTTTTTAAAAATCATCATAATCATTGTTCATTCTATGTAACTTGCATTTCCTATTCTTTGAACAGCAATTTGGAAAATCTTTCCAAGTGTAGAAAAGTGAAAGAGGATGAGTACTGCTCACAATTGTGACCTAAATTTTGTGTCACCAGTTGGCTCAAGAAATCCTAACAATGAATAACTTGTTCCGGGATTGGGGTGTGGGTGACTGAAGTTGTTTGACATTTTTGCTTAGATATCGCTATGCAGCTGCAGGTCATTTGCTGGGTTTCCCCTAATAGGGCTGCCAAAAAAACCAAAGTGAAATGACAATAAACAGTATTATTTGGAAATGAAGATAAGCATATTGCATATTTTTGCTACCTGTCTTCAAACTTTAACATCTGAAATGATGGCATTTTCTTTTTAACAGCAAAACGCAGCACCAATAATTCATTCAAATAAAAAGCAAAAGAATCTTTATATTTTAAAAAATACATACTAAAATATTTAAGAATATATATCTGAGATTTCCTTCAAATTAGGTGTGGAAGGCAGAGGTGAGGGCCAGGATGAAATAAAACTGCTCATGAGGTGGTATTTGTTGAAGGTGGGAAGTCATTATCTTGTGTATTTGAGAATCCTAATAAAACAATTTACAAAACAAAAATTATAAATATATAATAAACATGTATTTCAAAAATAACACTAATTTTTCAATCCAGTTTTCAATCCTAATAGGTATTCTTAAAAACTCAGGGCATTACCTGATCTTTCAGAACTCCTAAAAAATAAGTTACACTAACATTCGGCAATTCAGAAAAGCATTGTTGAGATTTGGCAACTTCTCCCTCATTCCATGTCCAGATGGCCTGTTTCTTGAATTGCGGCTTCTTGAAATGCCAAGACCTTGAGTATTTCTTCAAAATCACTGGTGTTAGATTAAATCTGGCCTAAAGTTGCCTCCATCCATAGAGACCTGCAACCTTATTATGTGAACAAATTGCAACCTGAGAGTATTCTTGTAAAAAATATGGCTGAATCTCAGCCAAACACAGCAGCCAAGCTTCAACCAATCACAGGCTGCCAATTGTTCAGACTATATCCATATGAGGCAAATGCCTCATAACAGTATGCCTGGATAAGGCAAATGACAACCCCTAGTCAATCAAGCTGTTTCTGGAGGGCACTTCCTTTTTCTGCCTATAAATGATGCCTGCCCTTATTCCTGGGTGAAGATCTCTTGAACCTCTCCTGGTTTAGGACGCTGCCAGATTCATAAATTATTGTTTGTGCACATCAACTGCTAAATTTCATTTGCCTGAAGGTTTTCTTTTAACAATGGGGGACTGGTTTTGAAAACTGAAGGCAGACTTAACATAGTTGTTGAAATGATATGGTAAAGATGTTCCTAAGGACAGATCAAAAGGCAACAGACTGCAGCTACTGAAACTCAAAACAGTTAAGTGACCTGCCCCAAATCAAACAGCTGGTCCAAAGTGTAGGGAGACTCTTGACCCTCACACTCTTCTTAGCCACAATCTTAAACTGCCCCTGGGAAAAGAAACTCAAGCCTATAGGTTTCAAATCAGAGGATTTTAAACTAAAAGGAGTTACAAGACAGGCTAACTAGAAGTGACAGGTTCATTAAATGATGTCTTTTACTAAAAACAAATAAACTTTTAGTAAGAGCAGAGGGCCACAATGAAGCTCAGACTAACTTCCTTTGAAGGGAAATTGCTCTATCCATAGAAGTACCTCACACCTATTATAACTGCACACTCTTGGCTAGAGATCTGGCATATTCCACCATAAGATCAAAAAAAATCCTTTTGCTTTAAACTCTGTTCTCTTCTTTAGAACATAATGGTACTCACAATATTAAGAATTTAATGACTTAAAAGTCACTATACTACATATCACTAACAATGGAATGTGAAAAGATAATTTTCTATCCTCTCTTGGCCTTAGAAATTAAGTTCAGCAGGGTGAAGTAAATCCAGAAGATGAACGGACAAAACCTTTCCAACCAGTTGGTTCTCATTCCCCTCCACCATTCAACTCTAAGGCTACAGATCAACAATATACATGTATGTACAGTTCCTATATACATGTGATTCAGAGACACCATTTAGAGCCCTATTTAAAATAAAATAATCTGTAGAAAATGGACTTACGTAATTGCAACATTGCTCCCATCTATAACAATGTGTTTCAAATTCATTCTCCCTGGTTCATTTTTTAATTCCAGCTTGTAGGGTACTTTTAGAGTATCTCGAAACCTTTGGACCCCAGTAACTGAGGAATCAATATGATCAGAAGGTCCTGCCAACCTTGCATCAGTAACTGAAGGTAACAGCTGGGGCAGTGGCATTGGTGAAGAAAGGGCTGAACAATTTGGCTTAGAATGAGGAGAACTACAACATCCTAAACGTTTTTCACAGGCAGATTTCATATTATTTGGAAGCAAGGGTTCTGGCTGCTGGTGTAAACCATTTTCAGGAAAAACAGGAACTCTGGGCTGGTGACTTGAAGGTCCCCTTGACACAAAATTGACTTCTTTGGGACTTGAAGAGGCAACAGAAGGTGAAAGGCCATCAGTTTCAGGGTCTATGTTACAAACATAGTTCTGGTTTGAACCCCAGACTTCATGTTTCTGTTCTATGGGCACTGTTCTGAAAGTATTAATTCTGCAATTTGAGGTACATGGTTTAGCTTCCCCTTTGAATGGTAACTGAGGAAATTTTTCTGCCATATTTTGCTGTGTGTGAGTCTGTGTTTTCTTTGGAGTGGAATCAGTTGTAAGCTCATTTGTGCTGCTATAAACACCTTTATTTTTGGTTTTGTTGGTCTCTGGATACACAATACCAGCTGAAAATTCTCTGTCTTCTTGGAATCTTTTATTTTCTTTTTCAATTTCCTCTAAGAGCAATAATGGTTCAGTAGATGGTCCATACTCCTTAATGACCTTTTCAACAATTTCTTGGGAATAGCCCATGGTTTTAAAAAAGTTTACGAGGATGTTGTATTCCATTTCCTCAGTAGTGTCTTTTGTATCTGGACTTAAATTTTCAGAATCGGTAGAAGAATCAGACAGGTCAACTATTACATTTTCAGCCAATGACTTAGCATCATGTGAAATCTCCCCCTCCTGAACATTTTCCGAAGAAAACTGCTTCTTGGTATGCCGTTCTTCGGAATCAGAAGATCTCCTTTTCTGACACATTCTCTCATGGGAAAGTGCCTCTTCCTCTGGGCTTAGACCATTTATTGGGTCAGAAAGCACATCTGGTGAGCTAGAAAGGACTGTGTCCATTTGTCGTGTAAGCTCAGAAACAGGAGTCCCAGCTTTATTTCTTGCCTCTTCCTGCAAAACAGTTTCATCTCTGGAAATATTCAGCCCTGTAGCAGCATTCTGTGTAAACTCTGTTTGTTGAGAATCTTTAATTTCAATAACATCATCATCCCCTGTTTCAAAGAGATTCTCCTCACCTTGTGTGAGTGTCAAAAGTTCTTTTTTCAAGGAAGTGGGCAAAATCAGCAAATCCATTGTGTAATTGTCTGCATGGGCTTCAACAAATTGTTTGAATTCTCTTTTTACCTCTGATTCTTTCTGACTACTGGGTAGGTTCTCCTTATTTTCAAAGAGCTTTACAAACTGTTGAATGTGACTCCTAGCCATGACCACGGCCTCCGCACTTCCTCTGATGCCAAGAAGGCCAATGTCCAGAATGCAGAGGTCGGCACAAGTATCCTGAATCAAGCTTTTCAGAAACAGGCTCTCTGCCCCAACAAAAATGCAGTGCATGGCCTTGGGGTAACATTCTCTTTCTTCTAGTTCAGGTTCACAGATTCCTTTAATATATTCCTGCAAAGAGAAAATAAGAAATTAAGTCAATTTACAAAAGTTCCTTATAGCACATAATAAATTGCACATGTAACTACAAGTGTCAGGTTGATTTTATAAAAATCACAAACATATTTGTAATTTTGAACAAAATGTTATGTTTTAAATAAAACATTGAAAATAAGATATACCTTGCTTAAATCATCTTTAGATGAATTGAAATTAAAAAGATATAAAAGATATACCTTTATATAAAAGAAAATAAAAGATATACCTTGCTTAAATCATCTTTAGATGAATTCGCACCCAAATTTAAATTTTATGCAATGTGATCATAGGGATTTGCTGAATTACACAGTGGATAATCCCAAGGCTGGATTTACATCTCTAGTGAAAAGATATCTTTGCTTGCTACCAGTAATTATTTCCATGACACAATCAAGAAATAAGATTATCAAATCAAGTGATTCACTAGAGAACAAATCTTGACTTTTACTACTGTTACCCTTGGTTTCCAGATTTCCTGAAGGTATAAAGAATAACATTAATTTTTTTTGGTTTTTATTTTGCAAAGCAAAAGCAAGTTTATTAAGAAGCAAACAAAAAATATTTTACAGTGGTTGAAACAATCTATATCCTGTATGAGTTTATGTCTGTTTCCTACAGAAAACCAGACTGTTAAATTAAATGCAGATCTAGTAGAACAAGTGAATGCTGGACAATACTGCTGTTCTCAGATGTTGGTATTGAAGGAGGTTGAAATGAGGCAAGAAAGGGAACTGAGTTCCCTTAGCAATTAGTTGCTACTGGAGTCAGAAGTATGAATCAAGCAGGCAAGCAAACACACACACAGGAACATATCTGTTAATAACTTCGGCTCTGGGGTCACTGTCTTGGTCTAAAATTCCAGCCATATGACTGATACTATCTTGCTCAAGTTACCTAATCCCTCTGAGCCCAGTTTCTTCAACTATAAAAGGAATGAAATCTCAGTGGTTTCGAGGGAATTAAAAAAGATAATGGAAGTTCAAGTTTTGACAACAGTGCCTTGCACATAGTAAGTGCTTACTAAATAGTAACAATGCTGTTACTTAAATAATCAGTGAAAACTTTCTGGAGAGACATTTGTAGGTAATACGCCTGGATGGAGATCTATGATCCATACTTTAAACTAAAATTAGAATGGTGTTACCAAAAAGTTAAACCTGCGCAGCATCAGTCAAGAAAAGGTAAGTAAAAGCCTGTACTTACCATATTCTTGCTATGATGGTCGTCACACAACTTTAGTGAGAATATTCAAACGTGTATAAACATTCCTTGCTGCATCAATGATTTAGAACTACAACTGAGACGTGGGTCACCTCTGCAGAAGTCTGACTTGCAGACCCTGACTTAATGGTGGATGAATGAATGCACTCTCACATCATTACAGTGTTTCAAGTGAGCTAGGGATGGCCATAGTTTGCTTCAGAGAACAAAATGCAACAAATCGACCTAGACCCTCTCTGTCCATCACACATGTATTCCCTCAAGATTTTACAAGAGGTTCTAAGTTAACACACTTGTGGATAATTAACAGAGAATGGTTACACGAATGATAAAAGCTTTAGGTTTCCAGCCCAGAGTAAACACTATTAACAGGTAATTCCTCTTTGACCTCTCACTGAGAGAGCCATCCAGCACAAAGTTAGCATGAGTAAACAGGGGAGAGACAAAGGGATGTGGGGTAAATAGACTAAAACTGGGAAAAGCCTCATCCCAATTTTCTCCCTAACTTAATGGAGCCGTGGGCCGCCTTTGGCCTGCCCCAGTAAAACCTTTTTGGCCTTCCAAAAGGTTTAAGACTAATCTATAACTTTTACTAAAAATTATTAATATTTTGCCAGCCACCCCGAATGAATAGCAACATACAACATTTTTGTAAGTAGATAGAACACCAGATATATGAGCTCCCTTACCTCCTTCTAAAAGCACCTTAGTATTTATGATTTTGGTGGTGAGGCATGGAGGTAACTGGTGCTAGGTAGAGTTCTGTCTTATTTTTTCAGACACAGGGTCTTGCTCTGTAGCCCAGGCTCAAGTGCAGTGATGTGATCTCGGCTCATTGCCAACTTCTACCTCCTGGGCTCAAGCGATCCTCCCATCTCAGCCTCTTAAGTTGCTGGGACTACAGGTATGCACCACCACACGTGGCTAATTTTTGTGTATTTTGTACACATGAGGTTTCATCATGTGGCCCAGGCTGATCTCAAATCCCTGATGAGCTCAAGCAATCTGCCTGTGTTGGCCTCTGAAATGCTGGGGTTTCAGGTATGAGCCACTGTACCTGGCCAAGCTCTGTCTTTTTAATACAGCAGCCTATTTTTTTGTGAACATGTCAACTGAGTTAAACACAAAGTACTGTAACTTATCCCCTTTTCCTGAATGTGCAAAAGTGTTAAATACTGATGTCAGCATCCCTGAATCTCCAAAGAGGCAAGCAACATTTAGCTCTCACTTGTTTGAAATTATGCTGTATTTAGGTTGTCGCTTTAAAGTTTTAAAATTTATTTTGAAATAATTACAGGTTCTCAAGAAGTTGCAAAGGTACTACATAAAGTCCTGTGTATGCTTCAGTTTCCTCTAAACATTGTATCTTACGTAATTACAGTACAATTTCAGTCAGGAGACACATTTCTGTCCATATAGTTCTATCATATGTGCACTCACTTTATCATATGTACAGCTTCTTGCAACTACCACTTCAGTCAAGATACAGAACTATCCCATCACCACAAAGATTTCCCTCATTAACCCTTTATAGTCATGCCCACCTACTCCTACCTTCTATCCATAACCCCCCACAATCTTTTTCCATTTCTATAATTTTGCGACTTCAAGAATGCTATATAAATGGAATTATACATGACTTTTGGGTTCGCTTTTTTTTCCACTCAACACGCTGATGCTGAACTCCATACAAGCTGTTGCACATATCAAGAGTTCATTCCTTGTTACTATTCAGTCGTATTCCATGGGATGGATGAACCAGGTTTTTATTCATCTCCCTACATTTTGGTTGCTCCTATTTGGAACTATTACAAAAAAAGCTGCTATGAACAATCATGTGCTAGTTTTTATGTGAACTCAAGTTTCATTTCTCTGGCATAAATGCTCAGGAGGGCAACTGTTGCTGGGACGTATGTTAAGTGTGTGTTTAGTTTTAAAATGGACCGCCAAACTATTTTTCAGAATGGCTATACCATTTTACATTTCCCCAACCATGTTTGAGAGATCCAGTTTCTCCACAACATTGCCAGAATTTGATAGTCACTATTTTTTATTTTACTTGCTCAAATAGGAATGTGGTATTTGGTCTTAGTTTACATCTCCCTAATATAGTGGCATTAAACATCTTTCCATGTACTACTTACCATTTACATACTCTCTTTGTTAAAATACTTATTCCTTTTGTCCACTTTCTTCCTTTAAAAAGTTTTCTTTTAGGCCAGTGCAGTGGCTTACACCTGTAATCCCCACACTTTGGGAGGCCAAGGTGGGCAGATCAGGAGGTCAGGAGATCGAGACCATCCTGGCCAATATGGTGAAACCCCATCTCTACTAAAAATATAAAAACTAGCTGGGTATGACGGTGCGTGCCTGTACTCCCAGCTACTCGGGAGGCTGAGGCAGGACAATCACTTGAACCTGGGAAGTGGAGGTTGCAGTGAGCCGAGATCGTGCCACGGCACTCTGGCCTGGCAACAGAGCAAGACTCTGTCACAAAAAAAATTTTTTTCTTTTTTTTTTTTGGAGGGGGGGACAGTTTCGCTCTTGTTACCCAGGCTGGAGTGCAATGGTGCGATCTCGGCTCACCGCAACCTCCGCCTCCTGGGTTCAGGCAATTCTCCTGCCTCAGCCTCCTGAGTAGCTGGGATTACAGGCACGCGCCACCTATGCCCAGCTAATTTTTTGTATTTTTAGTAGAGACGGGGTTTCACCATGTTGACCGGGATGGTCTCGATCTCTTGACCTCGTGATCCACCCGCCTCGGCCTCCCAAAGTGCTGGGATTACAGGCCTGAGCCATCGTGCCCAGCCAAAAATTTTTTCTTTTAATTTAGCCTGGGTAACACAGTGAAACCCCATTTCTACAAAAAATATGCCAGGAGTGGTGTTGTGTGCCTGTAGTCCCAGCTACTTGGGAGGCAGAGATAGGAGGATAGCTTCAGCCCAGGACGTTGACGCTGCAGTAAGCCAAGATCATGTCACTGCATTCTAGCCTGGGCAAAAGAGCAAGACTCTATCTCTAAAACCATTTTTTAAGTTGACAAATAATGATTGTGTGTGTACATATTTTTCTATATACAAATATGTGTGTGTGTGTGTGTATTTTTAGAGACAAGAGTTTCACCCTTGTCACCCAGGCTGGAGTAGAAAGGCGTGATCTCAGCTCACTGCAACCTCTGCCTCCTGGGTTCAAGCAATTCTGCTCCCTCAGCCTCCCAAGTAGATGGGATTACAGGCATGTGCCACCACAACATGGCTAATTTTGTATTTTTATTAGAGATGGCACTTCACCATGTTGGCCAAGCTGGTCTTGAGCCCCTGACCTCAGGTGATCCACCTGCCTCAGCCTCCCAAAGTGCTGGGATTACAGGGATTAACCACTGTGCCTGGCTGATTGTATATATTCATGGGTTACATAGGGAGGTCTTGATACATATAATACATAGTGATCAGAACAGAGTAATCAGCATATCCATCCCAAACATTTAGCATTTCACTGTATTGGGAGCACTCTATATCCTTCTAACTATTTGAAACTATGTATTATGGTTAACTATAGTGATTCTATAATGATATGGAATACCATATCATTATAGATTTATTCTCCCCAGGGAGCTGTAATTTTGTATCTTCTAACAAATCTCTCCCTATCCTTCCTAGTCTCTCCTGTCCTGTCCATTTTCTAATTGCATTTTTTTTTTTTTTTTTTACTGTTGAGTTTTGAGAGCTCTTTATATATTCTAAGAGTCTTTT